TCACGCTGTTTCTATTACTAACGGTCAGGTTATCGACCAATATTATCATGCTGTTTCTATTACTAACGGTCAGGTTATCGACCTATATTATCATGCTGTTTCTACTACTAGCTGTCAGGTTATGGACCAATATTATCATGCTGTTTCTATTACTAACGGTCAGGTTATCGATCTATATTATCATGCTGTTTCTATTACTAACGGTCAGGTTATCGACCAATATTATCATGCTGTTTCTATTACTAACGGTCAGGTTATCGACCTATATTATCATGCTGTTTCTATTACTAACGGTCATATTATCGAGCAATATTATCATGCTGTTTCTATTACTAACGGTCAGGTTATCGACCTATATTATCATGCTGTTTCTATTACTAACGGTCAGGTTATCGACCAATATTATCATGCTGTTTCTATTACTAACGGTCAGGTTATCGACCTATATTATCATGCTGTTTCTATTACTAACGGTCAGGTTATCGACCAATATTATCATGCTGTTTCTATTACTAACGGTCAGGTTATCGACCAATATTATCATGCTGTTTCTATTACTAACGGTCAGGTTATCGACCAATATTATCATGCTGTTTCTATTACTAACGGTCAGGTTATCGACCAATATTATCATGCTGTTTCTATTACTAACGGTCAGGTTATCGACCAATATTATCATGCTGTTTCTATTACTAACGGTCAGGTTATCGACCAATATTATCATGCTGTTTCTATTACTAACGGTCAGGTTATCGACCAATATTATCATGCTGTTTCTATTACTAACGGTCAGGTTATCGACCAATATTATCATGCTGTTTCTATTACTAACGGTCAGGTTATCGACCAATATTATCATGCTGTTTCTATTACTAACGGTCAGGTTATCGACCAATATTATCATGCTGTTTCTATTACTAACGGTCAGGTTATCGACCAATATTATCATGCTGTTTCTATTACTAACGGTCAGGTTATCGACCAATATTATCATGCTGTTTCTATTACTAACGGTCAGGTTATCGACCAATATTATCATGCTGTTTCTATTACTAACGGTCAGGTTATCGACCAATATTATCATGCTGTTTCTATTACTAACGGTCAGGTTATCGACCAATATTATCATGCTGTTTCTATTACTAACGGTCAGGTTATCGACCTATATTATCATGCTGTTTCTATTACTAACGGTCAGGTTATCGACCAATATTATCATGCTGTTTCTATTACTAACGGTCAGGTTATCGACCTATATTATCATGCTGTTTCTATTACTAACGGTCAGGTTATCGACCAATATTATCATGCTGTTTCTACTACTAGCTGATATTCCCGGCGTTATCACGGTATGGAATTGCACACTTCAATAGCTGTCACAGTTAACAATACACCTGATCATTCAAAAATAATTCCAGACTAATCCCATACAATAATATAGGGTCGCACTTGTCATTTTGTTACAGTCAATTACATGTATTAAGTTACCTTAATTTAATTTTGTTCTCATGTTCTAGACACGACCACATCACGAGCCCGCCTTTAAATCCACGTGCAGCATTGTTCTGATCCATAACTAAACCCTTTGCTCTCCTCTCCCTTTTTTTTTTTTTTTTTGTGTCTGCAGACGGGGGCGTGGCTCAGCACTATCTGCTTTGTTCCTCTCATTGTTTGTGACGTGGTCAGTTTGAGGCGTATTGGGATACTCCCAACTCGGCTGCAGGAAGTGACGTTCACTGCGTCTTCTGGTCACCCCGAGGGTCAAGTTAGTGTGGGGGGATACAAGAGAGAACCTGATCAAACCCAGGACTCCACCAATGACCCAAATTTACCAGATGCTCCAAGCAGTGATAATCCTACCTCTATCTTGCCAGCATAAACAAACTATCTAGAAATGTTACATGATCAATCTAATGAACAGTACCGAGTGACTGCTTATGATGGCACTGCTTGACATGACTATTCTAATTATACGCCTGTCAAAAATGGGATCGTACTTTTTTGTCAATGGAAAGTGATTCTTATAAATGTGTATGACAATTATTTGCAATAAATTTTTAAAAATTACTATATTCATAAACCACAGTGTTACTTGAATTATTTGTGGCTGACTAAGCAAAGTATCTTATAAGTTAGATTTGTAGGTTTAAGGCTTCCTGTGTCAGCCTTATTTCAGTGACCCCACCAGGTCTTACTTGTGCCATTCAATGGATCTTTTGGAGGACAAAGTATTTATATACCCAGAAGGTTAATAAACAAATTCTATTTATTAAAATTCAATATTCCTGCTTCAAAGGCCACCAAAAACTGAAACTCGCCCATGTTTGGCCATTCATAAAACAACAAATACATGAACACGTAGATATTTGAACCTAACATGTAGCCTATAAATTTGAGGCCTCTGCTGTGAGGCAGGTGTTACCCAATGGCCCTGCTTGACTCCCCCCCACCTCTTCCAAACCATGATGAGAAGGATGTATGTTTAACCTCTGTCCCGATTTCCAAGAACCAAAGTGTGGTGAAACTTTGAAAAGTTTTTAGTTAATGTTTTTATTGAAGCCAGAGGACATTGCTAATTTCCAGATGGGGATACAACTATTAATCATCATTACCCAGCTTATAAAAAAATCTGGCCATTCATGTAGCATCTCCTACTTTGAAAGTACAGGATCTAATTCTGGTAGAAACTTGATAACAGTTTAAATTGTACGGTTAGTTTTGGTCTTCACCAATCTAAGAGGTATCTCCCCTTAAAGATGAGGGACACAACACTGAAATGCTTTATCTTACTAGATGCTTGTTGTTTATTTGTTACCTAAATATTCAGCCTGGAGGTCATGCATTAATTAGTAATGTTGGTGCATGAACAATTGTTTTAAATATAACTTTGCAAAGACTTCTCCTTCTTCCCTTAAGGAAATCCTATTTGACCATCAATAGTACGTAAAAAAACAACTTGAATTATATACAATCTATTATGGACTTGAAACAATGAATAAAAAGTGAATAGCGTAGATTAGACCTTTCATTTTATTGTTTTTTATTTTTAAATGAAAACTGGTCAATAAAGATTGAAATGATGCAGTGTCCAGTAGACAACATACTTTCAAGTTAATCAGATTAGTCATTAAATTTACATTTTTACATAACTGTTTTTTTTTATATGTAACATTCAGTTAACAGGAACAAAATCAAACAGCAACAATTACATCTTTCATTGTCCAGTACACAATATCATTTTAAGTCAATCATTAGATTACTAGTTAAAATCAAATTTTTACATAACTGTTTCTTTTATATACCTGGTATATAACATGTTGCTAACACAAACAAAATCATACAGCTACAATTACATCTTTCAAATATCCACAAACATTTGCAAAATCTCAGGAATAGTCAAGATCTACAACTCTGGCAAAGTCAAGAACAACAACCCTGATATAACCAAGATACCCAGCCCTAGATGTTAGAAAGACCCATTTAATCAATTATACTGAGGTTGAACTGCTTCCTGAAGTTCAAAGGTCAATAAACCCTATGCCAACCTTCAATCTTCTCTTGAAAACTCTGTAGATCATATTCCCAAGTTTCATGAAGTAATCTTGACTCTAATGCACTGGAAAGATTATGAGAAAGTAGAAGTGTTCATCCGATATTCCTAATCAATAATAATAATTAGTTCTTATAAAAAAACCAGGTGTAGAGGGTGCTGTTGTAACATGATTAAGGAGCAAGAGACAATGTATGTTTTGAATGGGCATTGGGTTAACCATTACTTAAGGTTCAGAGGTATATCTAAAGTTGCAGCATGTTTATCATCTGGAGCTGAGTTTGACCTTTCTTTGGCCAGTGTTAACATGATCTCATTCTACAGAAATTCAATTACACAAGGGATATTCAAATTGATATTTATCAAGATGTATTCACTCAAATAATTATTGAGACCAAGTATCTTAGAACCAGTCGCAGTCTAGCATTGAGTGATGTTATTAAATTTATGTTTGGCTTGATACAGCTAGGTGACTTTCTTTACGGTGATTCAACATACAACTGCTATATAAGTCTGATATAGGCGAAGCCACCCCCACCCCCCCTCCCAAATAGCCAAGCGGTTTCAGTGGTGACTCATTTAGGCACCAACAAGTCAAACAGAACCAGACCTGTTTACCCTCAAACTCTTAAAATCGTAGAATATCATCACAAAATCGTTCAATACGTTATAAGTTATATTTATAGTAAAAAATAAACAGTATATACAACCTATACACCTAAAAATCGTACATTGTACGCCAAAATCGTAAGAGTAAACAGGTCTGCAGAACTGAAAATCTAAATGGAGTTTTAGGGATGTTATTCAGTTAGCAGCCAAATTTTACTTACATGGCCACACAATGGGCATTCCCCAAACAGCATGTTGAAATTCTGCCTGGCACTCAGACTTCTCAGCCACTGAAATAAGAAAAACCGTTAAAATTAAAATAAATCCTTTTCTTTAAACTTAACTTCTAAGACATGGAGAAAAGATCCGGTTGTAAAAAATATAATAACAACTACAAGATTTATCATCACAAAAGTTGAAAGTATAATAATTTATCAGCAATTTGAAGTTGATTGCTGGGACAGAAGATGGAGTAAGGAGGAAGAGCGAGGTATGAATTGGATTAGAACATAGATTGGGGACCTACCTCATAGAGGCATGAATCACATTAGAACATAGATTGGGGACCTACCTCATAGAGGCATGACTCTGATTAGAACATAGATTGGGGACCTGCCTCATAGAGGCATGACTCTGATTAGAACATAGATTGGGGACCTACCTCATAGAGGCATGACTGTGACTCTGATTAGAACATAGATTGGGGACCTACCTCATAGAGGCATGACTCTGATTAGAACATAGATTGGGGACCTACCTCATAGAGGCATGACTCTGATTAGAACATAGATTGGGGACCTACCTCATAGAGGCATGACTGGTGGAAGTGTTGCTTGCACTGCTCACAAACTATTTCTGGTATTTCTTGTTGTTGATGGTGACAGTAGCAAATGCCACAATCAACAGTCAGTTCCTGGATAGGAAATAAGCCTTTGACATTTTACACACACAAATAAAGAAGAATTTTTGTATTTTATTCCCCACCAACGGCATTGTGAAATTGAAACCAGATCTTCATTGTCATGTTATTTGATGCTCGCTTCAAAATTTAAAAAAACTAAACTTATCTCAACTTTTTAGCTGTCATGGTGTTAGGGTTATGTTATTAATGTGTGGCAGTGTGGGTTTGTCTGTGTGGAATATGACTTTACACATATTTATTTCTTGTTAGCACAGGTCTTCCCAAACTATGAATTAAACCAAGAGTCAAGTCATATGATTTCTTTTAGCAAGATATAATTCTGGCTTAAAAGAAATATAAGTTTGCCTTCATTTTTCTGTAATGTAGACGTTATTTTCAGTAACTTTGCATATTTCTATAATTAGCCATTCCCTTTTGCCTATAAATGATTTAAAATATTCTGCACAGTAAGATATTGTTCTGAATGGGAATGCAGAATATTTAGAATAGGCTCTTAGGGTCAGGGGGGGCGGGGGGCGAATGACGACTATGGGAAATTTTTTATCGAACACAATCGTCCAATTATTCACCTCTATCCTAGTTTCAGTTCGACTTGGAAAGTCTAGATCTAAAACTTCTTGGAGGTTTCTCAACAATGATCTCTCAGCATCCCTGAAACATTTTTTACATTTATGATTAGGGATGTAGTAGTCCTTTTTAGGCCAACATATTATAGATAGTAGAAATCTGATTTTAAAATGTTTAGCCTTTTGTTTATATTTCAAATTCTTATTTATCTAACAAGTTTATGAAGAAAAATTATTAGAGTTTTATGAGGGCGTTTCTATAATGAGGAAGTCTTTCAATTTCTGTCAAATTTAAAATATTGCCCCACAAAATGTTCCTCTTGTATCAGATTTACTTCATGAGGCTATTTTATTTCTTCCTGCATAAACTTAGCAAAATATTTTTTAACTAGATATAGCCTTCCAAACATTGGCGACAGCAATTCGCGAATTTCCCATCTACTAAAGTTACTTGGCAAAACATTAACTCAAGAAACACACAATTTAAGAATTCCAATTTTTGCTATACCCCTTCCCCCAAGATACGTCACTGCACACTTTTTATTTCAAGCCCCTGAACTATATTAAATATTCTAATGTCCCAACCACTTTTTTACACTTACACCGTACTAGAATTGAGACGATACTATTTTCCGAAAAGAAAATATTATGCACCAAACGCAGTTGCGTTATTAAAAAAAAAATTAATAATTTAGTATAGTTATCGGGAATTATATTTTGTGTGCTACTGAACTCAATATTGAACCATACTTTCTTTCAAACATATAAAATTATTTGTAATATACTCTCAATACCAAATATGCTGAATAAGAAGCAGCCAGCTTGTTATGAAGCAGTCCACCAGTCACACCAGAAGCATATACATATATAAGAGATGAGTTACTGAGAATTTAATGGAGTTCCAAATAGAAAGCAATAGTTGAACTCCTTAAGCAGCTTTGAATGCATTTAAGGTAATAAACCATATAATTTAATTCTTGTCTTATATCATTGATTTTAATGTATTTATTTTTGGGTGAGAAGTAAAATATATCAAACTAGGGCTTAACTGGGTGGCAGTTTTTTACACCAGGAGAAAATACTCGGTGGGTCCAAGTGTTACAAAAGAAAAAAGTTAGCTTCTCATTTTCTATAATATATGCCTGCCTTTACAAAATAGGCCTAAAGACTGTCCTACACCATAACTGCCGGCATTTAAACAATAGGCCTAAAGACTGTCCTACACCATACCCATTGCTCATTATTAATATAATTGTCGCCTCTGAAAAAAATCTACCTTCTTAACTGGGTTCAACTGTCACGCATGACGCTCAATGGTTAACAGCTTTTTTTTTTCACCCAGTACAATTAATATGAAACATGTTGACTAAGGGGAGGGCCAGTTGCTACAAGGAAGCAGCCACACCAGAAGCAAAATATATATAAGAGATAAGCAGTTTAGTGCGTGAAGTATTAAGAAAGGCCAAAACACCATCTATTAAACTAGGATAGTAGTAAATAGCAGTTTACCTTGCTTACACATGGCAAGACTAATACTACTCAAAATAGTTTAACTGGATAAGGAACAATGCTAAACAAAACAACACTCACCACATGTGTAAGTTGACATTGAGTTTTTCTCTTAGCTCAGAGATAGCTGAAATTATTAAAAAAATAAATATAAACTCCAAGTAGTTTCTAAACATCTCTATTGACATTGTTTGTCACTAATTTAATTGACAAGAAAGATAATCTTAGGGCCCTGTTATTGAGAGCAATTCGTGACATAAAATAATACATTAATTTTCGACTACCGGTACTAAAAAGACCCACCAGAGTGAGTGCCTAAAAAACGACACTCTGGGAATGTTGAGGGCTGGCCACAGTTGACATTTATCTGAATTGATAAATTTGGTCCTGAAATAAATTACAATTAACTAAATCAATTAACAGTGGGCTTAAAAACTGTTTGATTATTTAAAATAAATAAGTTCAAATGCCATTTAAAATCTATCTGACACATTACATCAACTAACATGTTTTTAAATTGTCACTTGACTGTTATTGATGACAATAGGTAACTTATCCACCCACCTATAGCAATCCTCCTTCTGGTGTCAGCAAAGGTTGGCTGTTCTGGTTCCAGCACCCAACACTTATCATCAATCTCTTGCATTATATCCCAGAAATGTTGATAGGAACTGACAGCTGCTTGGAATTCTTGGAAAATATGTTTCAGACAAGTCTGTGAAAAAATAGTTTTTTTACACCAGCACCAAAAATTTTCTACAAGGATTTTACAACAATTTATCTTTTACAATAAAAGATAATAGCTCAGCAATAGGGCTTAGATAAAACAGATATTAAATAAATACACTCCATGAGTAGAAATTATTACCTTTCCAGACCAACTAAAATGGAATATTTCAGGCAAGCTGGTCTCACAGATTGCTGGTGTGTTGGGATCCTGTCAAATAGTGAATTATATTTTAGAACAACATTTTCCAGTTTAATGGTGCACATATTTCCCCCAACCTTTTTTTAAAGTGGTCTTTTCAGAAGCCAAAGCAGCCAATTTGCTTTCTTTTAAGGTCATCAATACCTTGAATGGAAAATTTAATTAAAAAATAAATACTTAATGAGCAAAATTTGTTTTACTGGACCACAGTTCTTAGAAATAGCAGGGATGAAAAATGAGCAACTCGAATGCCAATGCCGGGAGAAGTTTCAGGGTGTTTATGCTAAAAAGCAAATCGTCAATCCATATGCAGAAAAGGTGGTACGCTTTTCTGGCTGGTCAGAAATGGTTACTTAAAAATGTATAATTTAATTCCTATTTTAAAAATGTTGTTTGTACTAAGATGTTAAACAAAATTATTTACCTTTGTATTGAATTTCATTTGTATCTTGTGCCATCTAGCAGCATTATCATATAATCCGAATTCCAGATGAGACAAACTCTCATCTATACTTACAAGACTGAAAGTGAAACAAGCTAACCATTAAAATAAACACCTAAATAAATAGAGCAGCATTTGATATCAAGGAAACATTAAGTTCTTTAGAAGTAAAAATGGAAAATGATTTTCAAAATATCTTCAAAAAATATTAAATCTAATGAATGTTGTCATTATCAAGCATGCCTGTATATTCTCAGGTTGACAATATGTAAATTGAAAATCTTAGTTTTGAAATTTCCTTAGAAGTGGAAGAACTTGTTTACATTCTTTGTAGAAGGCACATGGTTATTTTTAAGCATGTTTTATTTATTTTTAAGAAAAAAAAGTTTTCAAATAAATAAACATTAATTTTTAAAATTAAATTTGAACAAATTAACAAAAAAAGTGATGTTCTAAAATTTAACAAATAAGAGTAATCTAATAAGTCATGCAAAAACAACAACAAAAAAACATGCATACTTTTCCCAACCAAGTTCCTCAATCTGTTGGAGTATCTGACTAGTTTGCAGGGACCAAATATCTGTTTCTATAGAGTGCTCTTTTACACAACTTTCCTGGGTGGGTGATAAGGGCAATAATTTTTCTCATACAAATAAAATAAATAAAACAAGTCTGAGGTCTTGGATGTAAATTTGATGGGAATAATTCAATTTAAAACATGATCCTATTCTCCCTATTACAGTTAAGTTTACATCAGATACAGTTCTGCCATCTCAGTTTTGAACCCCTCAGTCAATGTTAAATCAATTTTCACAATTTCCTACAATCCTTTGCAAACATTTGTTGACTAAAAGCCTTCAGTCATTTAACAATTTGTTACCTGGTTCTGGCATTACAAAACAATCATACAAAAAGAGAGGAAATCGTGACAAGCTAAAATAAAAAAGTCGACACCTTGACAACTTAAAATAAAAGAGTAAACACCCTGACAGCCCTAAAATAAAGAGTAAATAAATAATAGTGGTTGTAAGACATGGGTCAAAATTGTTCTGTTGTTTCAGAATAAATACTGTTATATGCAGTACCCATTAACAAGTTGTGTAATTAACAGCTTTTATAAAACTGTGCACTTTACCCAAAATGAAGAAAATAAAGCAAAAGGAGAATTTCGGAAAGAAATTGTGATTTAAAAGGTATGGGGAAATTATTTCTGTTTAAATGTTTTCTTTGCTTTATTTTCTTCATTTGATACAGTGCACATGATTTGATTTTATATTTAACCCTTTCATTACCGATAACGTCGACGCGACGCCATGATACGCGACGTCATGATCACCCACTTTCAATTACTAAGGAAAGCCACATTGTCGTCAAAACAAAGAGGCAAAGCACTTATCTGAAATACCAAGGATGTCACGTCGATGTCATATTTCAATGCTCTATATTTCTTTCTTTGTTAATCTATAGAGAAGTTAATAAGCGAATCGGTTAGAGAATGAAAAATACCGGAACTCTCTTCAAGTTTTTTTTATTGTTGAGTCAGCAAAAATCAATGCCCACAAAACCAGCGTTAATGAAAGGGTTAATGTTTAAAACTTCTTCAACCTTGAATGAATATAAAGGAATGAAAAAAACAAAAAAACTTACTGCTATGTGTACAAACTCCTGAAGAAACGAAGTCATACTATCTGCATTTTTTAGCCTCTGCAAAACAAAAGATATTAACAAATTATTATTAAAACACATTAATTTAATTTATTCTTAAAGTTTTAAAAAAAATTACACCATTTTTAAGTTTAAAATTCTTATTCTCGTTAAAATATAATTTATAAAACAATATGTAGCATCATGGCTGTAACATGCATTGAGAACTTGTTACTAGATTAAAAAAAATTAAAACATTTGTTAAAATAGTCATTCTTTACCGATACACAAATTTTTCAGCTTTATTTGAAGCACCTTTTTTCTCATCATACACCCAAATTAATTTAAGCAACAACATAAAAAATACTACGCTTATAGACTGTTCTGATTAAACAAATCCAAATTTAGAGAAGGAAAAATATATTTATGGAAAATTTTTTATTACAATTTGAACGTAACTAAATAGACGTATGAGTATCAAAAATTATTTTCTAGGCGTCTCCATTGCAATTACTAATAAGAAGTCAACAGAAATTAAGAGTGTTGTAATGTACAATGAAATTACCTGCTGAATAAGCTCAACTTTGTGTTGTATTCTTTGGAGAAGTTTCCACTCACAACAAAACTGGGCACCACACAAACCTCCATTACTTGGTATATTAATATCTACTCTGTAGGACTGACCCTAAAATAGTTTAAATATATTCAAATTAGATTGGAATTTTTATAAATAATCTCGTGTATTGAAAATGGTTCAAAGCTGTGACCCAACATTTTTTTTAGGGGTACTTTTCTAAAAATTACGATGGGATTAAAGTTAAAGTCTTAATACATGTTATATAAAAAAAATCAAAATTATAAATATCCCTGCTGCTCAACATCCAAACAGTCCATTTTTACTAGGGCTTAATGGGTGCCATTTACATTTTACACCATGCCCCTTTTGGTGGGTCTAAAGTAAGGGGATTTTGAGGAAAAAACCCAGTGCCCATTGGGTTCAAGTGTTACATTAGTAACAAATAAACAAAAAAAAAAAAAAAAAAGAGTTAATTTCTCATTTTCTATAATAGACCACATTTACCTTTTACCCCCTGCCCCTTTTGGGGGGTCTAAAGTAAGGGGATTTTGAGGAAAAAACCCAGTGCCCATTGGGTTAAAGTGTTACATTAGTAACAAATAAACAAAAAAAAAAAAAAAAGAGTTAATTTCTCATTTTCTATAATAGACCTACAGACAGTCCTACACTATACCCGCGGCTCTTTATTGATTAATATAACAGCAATTGTACCCTGTCCCTATAGAAAACAAATTCAACCTTTTTACAGTCAGACGTCACCCAAACATGCCGAGTGAGTGGGGGGAGGGGTGGGTGCCAGTTTTGAAAAGGAAGCAGGACGAACCAGAAGCAAAATAATATTAAGGCTACGCCACAAGAGCAGGGCCCTGGGCAGTCGCCTCCCTCTAGCGCTGGACCTGGGCTAACCCTACTGGGTGTTACAAGTAACAAGTAGTACGTATAAAGCGTAATTATAAGTCGATCCAAAAGTGGTAGGCTGCGTAAACTCTCACCGAAATATTAATAAAACCAGAGTAATTGACAATTCCATTGGCAAAGCCCAAAGGGATTAAACACGGTGCTATTTCAAAATGCGACATAAATAATTAAAGCTACTCTAATTCTGTTAAGTTGTTATTATGCCTATAATATATAATTATTTAAATGCAATGTTAGTTTATTCATATTATGCTGCGCCAATGCGTTACAAATCCATCAATCCGCATTTGTTTATAACTCGCTGGTCTTTTATGTGCCAGATTGCACGCGTGGAGCCAAGGATTGGACCAATCTGTTCATGAATGTTCCCGTTTAAAACAAAACAATTAATACACTGTGGGCCTGATACAAGTTAATTTATGTACTAGGTTTGTACCATTATGCTTATATTTTCATAAAATATAAATAAAGATATCGAGGCTCAACGATCATTTGGCTTATTATTTGGCTTTTCTATACACATTAAATACAAATCGCTGTGCACATCATAAGTTATAATGGTCATTTATTATTTATGAGGCATATTTTGCAAACTTAAAATAAAAAATGTTACAATACAATCAGCATCATATACGACCTAAATTCAAATAGCTCACTTTTAGATATATTTATATCAGTTTGCTTACAGGATATAACGTGTCATTATTTTGATAATTATTAAACTGTTAATCAATAAATATTAATTTAATCAATTTTGACAAAAAATCATTTTCTTATTTAATACTCAGTACCTGGCTATTAGCGGAAGAATGATAATCTACCCATTGCGGCAACTCTTCATCTCTTTTCTCAGCCAATGACTGCATAGGTAACATTTTCACGCACACCTCGCGATGTAACTGTAAACATAGGTCTAAAAATAAGCAAATGCCCTCGCGTGCGTGTTATAAAGTCTGCTGTGTTGTTAAGGAAGCCGTTTTCTGATGAGTATTATTATAATTATCATTTTAATAGCAACATCCCCTCTATAAAAGCCCAATACTCTACAATGAGTGACCATTCCAGGCCAGCAGTTCCGAATCCAGACACTGAAGTAAACGAAACACTTCGTCGTTTAACATCTGTTAGTCACAATCACGGTGTTAGTAGACATACAAGTTTGCCTTCAGGAGACGAGGAAACACAAGAAATGAGTTCAAATACCCTAATGTGTGGAAGTTCGTCCGTTAAAGTGAGGTCCTTTTCGGTTGACTCATGCAGATCGAAAAGTAATAAATTAAAAGAAATAAATTCGCTCCATAATTATAATCACAATCACACTAGTCATGGAAGTACAAATGGCAATAATGACACTGTTACTGTTAGTGATGGCACCGACAGAAGTAGTGGCGATGTAATTGAACTTGGAGGTGGTGACATAGCAGTTATAAGCGAAGAAAAGAAATCACAGGAAAAAATTTATAGTGATGATGACATTGCTTGTGAAATGGCTCAGCAGTATAAAAAAATACTCGAACATCTTGGAGAAGATCCATCACGGCAAGGTTTGTTGAAAACCCCTGAACGAGCAGCAAAAGCAATGATGTTCTTCACCAAAGGCTACAAGGAAAACATAGCAGGTACTTATTGTGCTTGTCAAAAATGTATTAGTTTTATTTATATGATCTCAAAATTACTATTTAATTGTAAAGCATGCCTGAACAATGATATTGTGTGCCTAAATAATTTTTGAGGGACACATAGACAATAGGTGGCAGCAATAGAAGTTAGAAGTGTCATTCTCAAGTTAGGATTTTGATACTACTTTTAGAAGTGTTGGTGATGGTTTGATGATAATTTAAGTAATTGTTCTCAGACTCATCATGACATGTAGATAAATATCATACATCAAGATCTAGGTACTTAATAGAAACTGTTCACAGCGGTGAGAGAGCACATAGTTTTTCTTTAAATAATTACAGCCTAATTTTGTAAATTTCATACTTTTTAAATAAAAATAATTAATACTCTTGATCTATTTTCTTATAAATGTACCACACAAATGTCTCAATTATTTTCTGCAATCTTACTAGCATAGCCACCATGGTTAAAACTTTGAATTGTGTCCTGAAACATTGAGACTTTGCAGCTATTGCTTTCAAATGATAATCATAGTCCATATGAATGACCTAGTTGTGATGTGTTGATCTTCTTTTAGCATAATTGCAGTATTGTCTTTGTAGAAAAACTATTTATAACACCTCCTAAATATTGCCTATAATTTTATTACATTTTGTTTTTCTTGTATTTTATATGGTGTTCTAAAATGTATGGTGTAAAATAATTATCTCTCCCCTTTAATTTTTAATATGTTGATGAAATGCTCTTTAATCCTCTTTATTACCTTTTCTATGTGAGTGTTTCATTGATGCGTTCTTTAAGGTAATGCACAGTTGTGTTGTTACAAATTTGATGTAATTTAAAATGAATAGATTGTGTCTACCTTACTTATCAAACAGGCAATTTTGGGAAAACTCATTTACTCTCAATAAGTTCATAAAAATCTTCCAATCATCTCTCTAACTTTACTGTGACTGTTGGTGAGACAACATACCGTCCCACACACATTCTCTATTAGTCTTACTGTGACTGTTAGTGAAACGAAATACCCTACTACACACATTCTCTTAAAGTTTTACTGTGACTGTTTGTGAGACAAAATATCCTCCTACACAAATTCTCTGCAAGTCTTTCAATGTTAAAATATATAAACACTGCTGCTCATTGGTGTATATTCTCTCTCTCAAAGTACTATGCTCATTTCTCTCATACAATCCAAGGCTGCCAAGTTTGGGTTTCCTCTCACACTGAAACTCCTTTGTCAATGTGCCCTATTCCCCTTAAATAAATGCCATTTGGCAGGGGTGCACACCTTCTCACTCATAAAACCCAATTTTTCAATGGTGGTATTTTCCTCTCTTCCATTGTTGCAATGTGTATAACTTCTTGCAGGTCCATCATACTTTGGTGTCTCTGATTTCAAGATGTCGGCACATGGTCTTAGTTTGACTTTTTAAAAATTGTACATTGAACTTATTTTGTTGTTAGTTTTTATTGTGACTTACAACATCACAACATGTCAAGTGTTTGGGCATCATGATTAAATATATCACTAAATAATCATTATCATCAAGGGGGATAATTTAAATAGCCTTTAGTTTGCAGCATCATACCAAAGCCCATTACGTCAGCGCCCATCTTTTCGACCAATAATTCCACCCAGCCATTCGGTCCACCTACGTTTAGTTGTCTAGTCCGGGTTTCTTCGCCAGAGGGCTCAAAATCAGCATAATTTATACTTTTTTTCTTTGGAAAGAAGGCGTCTAAAGCCTGGAATTGTCCTTTTGCTTGTCACGGCCCAGTCCTAGTCATATATTTTACACAACATTTTTACATATCAGGCAACTAAAAATTACGTTTTCTTAAGGTGACGCAATGATTGTTTCTCCAGCGGTACAAAATGTACTCAAAATTAACATATCATTTTTCCCCGGATGTAGCAAAAAACAAAAAACAAAAAAACATAAAATAAAGCTTAAACTACTGACTCCCTTGTGACTCTACAGGCTATCAAATTTGCTTACCGTGCCATATTCCTAGAAAGTACTGTGGGATAGGCCACCAGGGGTAACCAAACTACGGTCCGCGGGCCTGATGCGGCCCGCGACGCCAGTTCACCAGGTTCGAATACGGTAATTTAATTTGATTGATAAAAATTATGGAACACGTTACGTTGTAAAATACAATTTATAAACCGGGAAAATGAGCCTTCTAGTAATGACATTTACTGGTTGGTCGGGCATTTTTTAATTTGTAAATAATAAGAATAAATTTGTGATTCCATGATAATTGACGGTAATCGCCGATCTCGTCTATTTTTAGCCTTTCTGTTATCGAACGTTTTTTTCAAAATGTTAGTGGTTTCCCCTTAACTGCGCTTGTGTTTTGAGCTCTACTTGTTTCGAAAATGAACTTGATTTATATCTTGAGACTTTGATTGTTCAATGTGAATCTAGTTTTAATAGTGAGGTAACCATTATAAATAGAAAACTACTGACCCAAGCTCTGTCTAATATGACCAATCCTAAGCTTATCCAGCCTAGCGCACTTAGTTATGTCTTAGTCTCAATGAGAGTTGATTTTTAACTGTTT